AGTCACCTAACAAAAAAACTGAATACTGGTATTTGACCAATTTGTAATATTGTGTATTACAATTTGGCTTTTCACTTACAAAGAATGTGCTTTGGTTTTAGGTGCACATTAAGAGGAGCTTAACTAGATCAACACATCAAAAACATATACATACAAACATTAATCAGATACTTTAAAATAGCATACTATAATAAGTATGTACTGTAGGCTAGAATATGACGGTTTAGTGATTTTCAAAAATATTAAATGTGTGCCAAGTTCACAAGAGAGAAGATGTATTTGAGTGCTGCCACATCTTACTTTGCAATGCTAAAGTTTACTTTCTCCTTTTCCTACTTTGTATCATTTTTACATTCCAGTAAGTCTCACATGAGCACTGTGCTGGGTTAAAACATGGTTAAAACGCATCAGCTTTAGAGGCCCTGTAAGAACAGTCTGCTGATAGCACCCCAGGCGTTGTTTACAGATAGATTGCAGAAAATAGCACCAATATCAGTATTAAGTAAAGAAAACAATTCTAATTCACTAGTCATGAATTCATTTTCATTTTCTTGGTATTATCTTAATCACAGACAGAGGTGGAAGAAGTACTCATATCTTGTACTTGAGTGAAGTAGAAATACTAGTGTACACTGTAAAATATTACCATGATTTCACAATATTTAGCTGTAATATTTTACAATAAATTACTGTTTTACCACTTTACAGTCTCTGTAATGTTCACAATATAATACTGTAATTTTTAATTTCACAGTGAAATCAACGCAGGCACAGTTAATTACTGTGAATGTACAGGATAAATTATTACCAGGATTTCACAACATGTTACTGTATTTTCACAGTAAAATACTGTATTCAGACCATCCTCTGTGACAACACAACAAATAAAGTGATTTTCTTGCTTTTATCGCTCTTGCTTGGCTTTAAATACGAATTTCTTTCTTTGGTGCAGGTTTTACTTAAATTGAAAGGGGCACCGCTGCATGTGCCTTAAAATAAACGATGCAACACATCTATACAATTTAAATTGTTGTCTTGGCTTATTGTTTTCGGTGCTTCCATGGGCATTAATCATGAGACGGGCTCGAAAGTCAAAAAGAGGCATGGCAATTTAAACCCCCATGTCAGCACATTCTTCAGAAAAATGGTTGACTTTGAGTGGATGTCTGTGTAGACATGTGCTCCCCTCCTTGTTTTATTTTCTGTCTCCCTGCTACAGGTGCACCTGGTCTAGCCCCTGGCTCCGCCTCTGCCCAGGTGCACCTGGTCTGCTCTTGGCTCCGCCTCTGCCCAGGTGTTCCAAATTCCACTCAGCCGATAAAGAGATGCTGGAGGAGAAGGATGTCTCGCCTATCCTAATCTAATCAAATCAAATCAATCAAGTTTTATTTATATAGCACATTTATAAACGATTTTTGGTCGAGCCAAAGTGCTGTACATCAAATAAAAATAGCCTACAGTAGAGACACTTTACAGCAAATACAACAGCACAGATTGTTCAGAATATCAGTATGAGAAAAACGACACCCTTTATCCTTAGACCCTCACATCGTACAAGGAAAAACTTCCAGAGAAAACCCACAGTTTAAGGGGAAAAAATGGGAGAAACCTCAGGGAGAGCAACAGAGGAGGGATCCCTCTCCCAGGACGGACAGACGTGCAATAGATGCCGTGTGTAAATCGAAGAGATAATACATTTTACAGCATATAGACCGAATGTTAGGAAATGCATGTGTCTGTAATAAGAAGATGAATCCACGAGGATGTCAGCTACAATCCTGAGGAAGCCATCAGGGAAGCAGCATGGCGAGACCCAAGGCAGGACCGCAGAGACAGGTTCAGCCACGACCCGAAGTCCACGACTTAATCCAGAACTCAGGATAGAGGAACCAAGACACAGGACTACAGCAAGAGGATCAGCCTCGACTCCGGATCCCGGCGTAGATATAGATACAAAACAAGAAAAAAGATTTGGCTGGGTTAATCGGAACAAGAGAATACACAGACAGAGAGGGAAAAGGTCATTGGATAAAAGTTATTCTTGATAACCCACTAGAAAGATCTCATGAACTTCCCCACTCAATCTATCAAGACCCGAGCAGTTCTATTAGATATAGGATAAGAAACAGAGATAGGGAGCACAACATACTTTCTCTTCGTCAGATGCACTCCCCCGCTTATCTAAGCGAATCTGTACCCCGTTACCCTCTACAAGGCCATAGACCAGCAGAGGGAAAATGGGGGGTGTGTAAGGGTAAGGATTTTTAAGAATAAACCGCAAGGGTCTAAAGGGAAAAAAGATGAAATATAAGGTATTTTAAGTAATCCTATCTACTATTCCTATATTTGAATAATGTATAAACTATTTTTAAAATACTTTATTAAATCCTATGTTATGTTATAAATATTAAAATAAAGAACTAAATTAATAAATAAATAACTAAATAAATAAATAAATTAATAAATAGATAATTAAACAAAAGCCAAAGAGAAAAAGTGAGTTTTAAGTGTTGATTTAAAAACCCCCAGGGTCTGGGCCGACCTCACATGGAGGGGCAAAGTATTCCAGAGCCTAGGGCCAGCCGCTGCGAAAGCTCGATGCCCTCGGGTTTTAAGCCTGGTCTTAGGCACTATCAACAACAGCTGATCAGCCGACCTTAAGGCTCTGCCTGGGGTGTAGCGATGGAGGAGTTCGGCTACACGGAGCCAGCCCATTTAGGGCTTTGAAAACAAATAAAAGGAGTTTAAAATCTATTCTGAACCGAACTGGAAGCCAGTGCAATGAAGCCAGAATTGGGGTGATATGGTCGCGCTTTTTATGGCCAGTGAGAAGACGTGCAGCTGCATTCTGAACTAGCTGGAGGCGTCTAATTGAGGCCTGATCCATACCCACATACAGAGCGTTGCAGTAATCCAGTCTTTAGGTAACAAAGGCGTTAATAACCCTTTCTAGGTCTTTAAAAGATAAAAACGACTTGGTCTTAGCCAATAGTCGTATTTTGAAAAAGCAGGTCTTGACTACAGTGCTAACCTGCTTATCAAATTTAAAGGCGCTGTTGAAGGTCACTCCAAGTTTCATAACAGAGGGGAAGATATTTGTATTGAGGGAGCCCAGAATATCAACCGGGGAGACTGTTGGTTGGGGTCCAAAAAAGATGACCTCGGTCTTACTCTCATTAAGGGTGAGGAAGTTTTGGCTCAGCCAGGATTTAATCTCTGTTAAGCAGTCCTTCAACTGCTGTAATGAGTTGGCATTTTGATTGAGAGGCAGATAAATCTGTACATCATCAGCGTAACAATGGAAGGGGATATTATGTTTTGTAAGAATTGAACCTAGGGGCAGTATGTACAATAGAAAAAGGATGGGGCCCAGAATCGAGCCTTGGGGAACCCCACAGGTAAGAGGGGCTTTGGCAGAGGAGAAGACACCTAACTGCACTGAGATGCTACGGTCCGTCAAATAAGACCTGAACCATGCAAGAGGGAGACACTTTCAACGCCGGGAGACACTTTCCTTAGAATACCTCTTTGCCATTTTGAGCTGTAGGCCATATTTTTGCAGATGTGTTTATGTTTAGCCTGGAGGACCTGGTAGTCCAGTTTTCGTGGCTTTATTTTGTTTCCCATAGGGTTTATATTTGATTTCTGGTTAGGGGGGGGGAAAGCTCTGGGTCCTACGGTCCGTAGTGTGGCTGGCTCGGGTTCCCTCCTTCTGTTTGTTCCTTTTGGCCAGTCCTCCAGACCTATTTTTGTTTCCCGTTTCGTTTGTGTGAGCAAACGGCTGATTATCAATAAATGCTCGTTACCAAGTACCGGTTATTGCGTAGTCTTTCATGTTGCGGGTCTCAGCACGAGCCACTATACCGCGGAGTAGAGGTTGGGGCCGTAACAACATGTCCAAGACACTGTGAAATAGGCTACTTTGCACTTCAATGGAGTAATACAAAGTTAAAATGGGCATTTTCTTTGTTTTTCTTTGTTGATTGAGCTGATTGAATTGTGTAGTTATGGTAAAATCCCTGTTAACTAGTCAGATTTACAATCTATTATCGTATTATTTACATTTTTATATTTAGGCCTACAGTAAATTACTGGCTAATGTGTTGCATTACTTCTACAGTAAAAGTGTGAAAATACAGGTAATTACTGTAATTTATGTACAGCAAGATACCATAATACCACAGCTCTGTACTGCTATATCACAGTAATTCCATGGGCATGGCAACTGTAAAGTCACAGTATTTAGTTGTACTTACATTCTAATTTACTGTAGCATATATCTACAGTAAATTACTGTAAAAATATTTACAGTAAATTACTGTGAAATATTTAGTCAATTACTGTGAAATCCATGCAACTAGTAGCCAGTAATTTACTGTAATTTTACAGCCAAACATTTTACAGTGTAATACTCTGGGACAAGTAAATGTAAAATGTTTCTCAACTAAAAGTACTAAAGTATTAGCATTGGAATATACTTCAAATGCCAAAAGTAAAAGTACTCATTATGCAGATTGGCCCATTTCAGAATACTATAAACGTATGTTTATAATGATTATTGATGCATTAATGTGTTTATCACAGCTGGTAAATGTGCAGCTACATGTTTAATCACTTTATATACTGCAGAGTAGCTTGTGGATTTACTCCAGGTGTAACTAAAGTCTTATTTAAGTATTTATTATATTTCACATTATTAATCCAAACTTGCAAAGTAACTTTAGGTAGGCTATAAATAAATGTAGTAGGCTCTATAGTAAAACTTGTAAAAGTACAATATTAACCTCTGAATTGTAGTGGGGCAGAAATACAAAGTCGCACACAATTGAAATGTTAAATAAAGCACTAGTGTCTCAAAGTTGTATTCAAGTACAGTACTTGAGTAAATGTACTTAGTTACTTTACACCACTGATCACAGATAAGAGCTTCTCTCACTTTGTTAAACAGAAAGAAAGCTTCAAAGTTGAGCCACCCCGCGGGGAGAGACGTGAACTGCAGCGGCGGCTCAAAGCCCGGATGGAGGAGCAGCCATTGGGGAAGTGTACAGGGCTTAACGTAACTGAGGAGGGCTCTCTCTCTCTGGAATAATAAAGACAAAGTAAAAGACGACCGAGGGCAGAAATATCCAAGCTCTGAAAGCTCCAATCGGCGATACATAACGTTTACTTGAAAACCAGTTACAGGACTTGACTGATTTTTGGACACAAGTCTCCTAGGCGACAGACTTGAAGTGTGGAAGTTGGGATACGAGCACACAGCGGAAAATATACAGCTGAGCCTGCGCTACAACTGCTAGCCACACGCTAAGCGGCACAGCTAGCCACGGAGCTAACTGTAACTGAGCTGTGAACTTGCTTTCTAAATCACGGGGCTTGAAATCCAGTCACAAGCGCAGGCTCTGTGAGAATCCAGGGACTTGCTTAATGAATTATGTCTGCCACAAGCATTGACCCTCAGGTAGGAAAAACGATGTACATTGCCTGTAAAAAAGCTTGCAAGCTAGCTACCCGCTAACGATTTACTGGGCTATGGCTATCGCTCGGAAGTGCTAGCTTAGCCACCAACGTTGGCCGGTGCGTGTAGCTAGCTGGTTAGCTACATTCCGTTAAAAAGGTTAAATGTGTTTGATATACGTTGGAGAATAATGACATGCAGTTAAGTGTTGGCACATAAATGCATATGTTACTTAGACCAAATGTTTGTAACGCCAGCGTAGCTGGAAAAAACTCAGCACCTATGGCTGAAAAAGCTATGGTTAACATAATGAAACGGGTTCAATCTAACGTTACTCATTCAGATAATCTTCAACTTTTGTATTGAAGGTGGTACAATCACCGGTATTATTTCAAGAGTGATCCAGCTAACTAAGTTAAAAGCTGCATTCGTGCTATTGGCGTCTAAAAGGCCATTTTAAAACGGCTAGCGTTAGTTACGATAGCTAGCAAAGTTGTGCTTGATTTGACCAAAGTTGTAAACCAAATATGGCTTTTAACTAATGTAGCAAACGGTAAGTATCTTCATCTTTAACTGAAGAGTAACCTTAGGTAATTATTTTTTTTGCATTGCTTCTCTTCGTGAGGTAGTCGTAATGTTCATATTCTGAGCCATACATTGTTAACATTAGCGGCTGCACATAATGTGTGGAAAATCTCAATTTACTTAAATGAACCATGTCTCCTTTTCCCCCCTTTTATCATCCTACATTGATGCAGAGATCAAAGGGACAAGCATCTAAAGGTGAGTTGTTGTGTCACAGATGACTGAATTTGTTTGGATATATAGTCTGGGTACACATTCCCTGACTAAATCAGCATTGCATACAGTACACCAGCATTATGTGGAGTCTTTAGCCGTCTGTGATTTACACTACTGTCAAGACTAATATCTTTGGAACATCATTTGATATAATCTGCTGGCGCAAATGTTTCTACAAATGAAATGGTTTATGGGTGATGAATTAAAGCTCAGAGAAGCTTGGAGAGGTAACTCAAGTTTAATTATAAAAATTCTAACTATTACAATGAAATAATCAAAAAGTCACTAAATCTAGCTAGAAAGTATCCAAGTTAGCGACACTGATGTCACTAGGACATATTTTGACAGTGATGTGACAGCCACAGATACCATTAGATTTTTTTGGGTCAGAATTCTTAGTTATTGAGTCAGGTAGTTAAAAGTATTTCAATAATAACATGTTTCTAATACACATTACCCACCTCAGTTTTGATGAGCTATTATCTGTTCATTTGTTGTTCAGCAGAAATTGAAGCATACATTTTCAGACTTTATTGGGAATATGTTTTGCATAAGTGTGATATTAACAATCTCAAGATCAGGGGTTTAAATGTTGGGTGGCGACATACTGTAAGACCCATTGGAGGACAGCATCCGCCATGTCAAAGGTCTAATGACTTTTAGGGAAAATATTTTCTCTGTTTACCAAAAGTATTCATGTTTTGGCTCCTCCTGTCTTGCATTTCCAAGTGGGTTTTAGCAAGACAAAGGTTTCTCCGTAATTGCCAGGCCATTGCCTCCCAGAACATCCCCGCCACCATTGGTGTATTAAATTGTGTTTGACTGGTAGAAATAGTCTGGTAAGGCAGAAAGGTACTACTGTATATAAATGTAATCCATTTACCATAATGCTTATGCTCATTTTTCCTTGCACACTTCTCTGATGCAATCTCTACTCTTTTTCCAGTCATATAAGTTAAGGCAATCTTTAATCTGCTGCTTGAGTATAACACGCTTAACCCCTGTATCTTTGAAAGTTGTGAATAAAGTTTTGTGATTTGGTATTGCAAAAATCTAGTGGACATTTCCTTTGAAGCATAATCTACTTTGCCAAATTGCCACTGTCCATACTTTTTTCAGGATATGTAAATGATATTCCCCAAAACGCTGGTTCTGTCTTGATTCTTAGCCTGTAATGGTACAGGATTGAGCACCTCCTACAGTTGTCCAGTCTCAGTCTTCCCTCAATGTCACCAGCAACCCCAGCTGTACATATTATTTTAATAGTAATTCATTGTTGTCAGTTCCTCACTAACGACAGTATTTGCAGTGCTGTAACAATGCTGTTATGGCCTTGTCATTGTTTTTATGATGTTAAAGTCATCTTGGATTTACTGCATTTGGTGAAGTGACAGGCAGGTCTTGACTTCGCTTCACCTGCAGGCCTGGCTGGCAGCAGGCTACGGGCTGACCTCCACCATAAGCTTTGCTTGACATGGCTCAGGGATTTGACATGTTTTGGAAGAACACATGGACTTATGGGCTGACAAGTTTGAATACTTTATCTGTGATTTACTCATTAGATAGATGAGGATTATAATTAAAATGTGTGTGCTGTGTTGAAGCTGACAATGCTTTTTTTTAATAGCATAATAATTTTAACCATTCAAATCTGTCACAACTTTATATCCAAACCTGGCAAGTTTGGCCCTGTGAAACAAACTGTTCAACTCAACAGGTCGTAGATAGTTAAATATGGGTTATTCAGTTATAAAACAAATCTGTCTTAAAAACTGAACATGTATATTTAAATGTACCTTCATGTACATTTGTTTTGTCTTTGCAGTGCAAAATGGTTCACTGCATCAAAAAGAGAATGTCCATGAAAATGACTTTGAGCCGTACCTCACTAGTCAATCAACTCAGGTAAAACTCAATATCCCTATCTTAAGACATTTTAGAAAATAAGATGTAAGAAATTATTATTGTTTTTTCTTAAATATCCGATATCAATGTGTCCTTCTAATTAGCATTAAGTTAGTCTCTCATGTTGAGTGAAAAGAGTTTTGTTTCAGTAATGGATCTGATTTTGAAAATTAAACTCCTGAGTCACATGTTAATGTTGTGGCTTTGCTGACCTTTATTCATCCAGAACAACAGCTACCAGTCCATCACCGACCCATATCTGTCCAGCTACTACGCCCCCTCCATTGGATTTCCGTATCCCCTCAGTGAGGCTCCCTGGTCTACAGGTGGGGACCCCCCTATTCCATACCTTACCCCCTATGGAGCCTTGAGTAATGGAGACCATCACTTCATGCCAGACACGGTGTTTGGCCAGCCGGGTGGCCTGGGAAGCAGCATCTACCCCCACAGGTTTAATTTTTTCCCTGAAAATCCTGCCTTCTCTGCCTGGGGCACAAGTGGCACCCAGGGCCAGCAGACTCAGAGTTCAGCCTACGGAGGAAGCTACAGCTACCCCCCCAGCTCCCTGGGGGGCACCCTGGTGCCTGATGGTCAGACGGGCTTTCACAGTGACACCCTCAACAAAGCCCCCGGTATGAACAGCCTGGAGCAAGGTATGATTGGCTTGAAGATCGGAGGGGATGTCACTGGCCAGGGCTCAGGAGTCAAGGCTGTGGGATCTGTGATCGGTGGCCCTGTAGTGGCAGCCACAGGGAACGGGGCCACACCTATTGGAATGCCACCCCCCAAACCCACCTCCTGGGCAGCCATTGCCAGCAAGCCCGCCAAGCCGCAGCAGATGAAAGCAAAGGTGAAGCCAGGAATGCAAGGTCCAGGAGGAGCTCTTCCCCCTCCACCCATCAAACACAACATGAACATCGGGACCTGGGAGAAGGGCCCGGTGACTAAAGTAGCCACAGCTCCAATGCAGCATCAGCAGCCTCTCGGCATGCCTCATGGCATGCAGCCTCAAGGCCACATGCAGCAGGGACCCATGCACCACCCTGCCCAGTCCATGGTGCAGCCCCAGATGCAGCAGATGACCTTACAGCACCACCATCACCAGCACCACCAGCCACCACCCCAACCCTACCAAAACCACACCCAGCCCCCACAACCCCAGACCCGTTGGGTTGCCCCACGCAACCGTAACCAAGGCTACGGGCAGGGCGGCCCTGGCCATGATGGTAGTGGTGTGATGGGTATGGTTGGTGGTGGGCACGGTGGCCCCCCAACTTTCCCCAGCCAGGGACCTGGTGCAGAGTCTCACCCCGTGCTGGATAAGCTGCGTGCCAACCACAGCTACAACCCCAAGGACTTTGAATGGAACCTGAAGAACGGCCGTGTTTTCATCATTAAGAGCTACTCCGAGGACGATATCCACCGCTCCATCAAGTACTCCATCTGGTGCAGCACCGAGCACGGCAACAAGCGGCTGGACTCAGCCTTCCGGGCCATGAATGCTAAAGGCCCCGTGTACCTCCTGTTCAGTGTCAATGGCAGCGGTCATTTCTGCGGTGTGGCAGAGATGCGGTCACCAGTGGACTATGGCACCAGTGCTGGTGTTTGGGCGCAGGACAAGTGGAAGGGCAAGTTTGACGTGGACTGGTTGTTTGTTAAGGACGTGCCTAATAGCCAGCTTCGCCACATCCGCCTGGAGAACAACGACAACAAGCCAGTGACCAACTCCCGCGACACCCAGGAAGTTCCTCTGGAGAAGGCGAAGCAGGTGCTCAAGATCATCGCCACCTACAAACACACCACCTCCATCTTTGATGACTTCTCCCATTATGAGAAGAGGCAGGAGGAGGAGGAGGAGGAGGTGAGCCAGGTGGGCACATTAATCTTACTGTTTTAACCTTTAATATACCAAAAATACACATTATACACCATTGATCAGAAAAACATTAACTGTTTAGTGTCTGATAATAATTCTTTTTTTTCTCCGTTTCTTCTTATTTGCTCCTCGACAGACTTTTGAACCTTCCCCTATACCCAACCGCTCTCGGTTGGATCAGGTAAGAACTTGTCATTAAAAAAATAAATACAAATTCAGACCGTTATTATTAATTGTGCTTGATTGAGTTGTTCAATCGGTAAGGGTGAAATGTATGATCATTTAAGTTTTGATCAAACTAAATGATGATATCTAGACCTTTATCAGAATGTCCTGCAGCTTGCTGTGCTGGTATGTGAAGTTTTAATGTCTAATATTGTTTTGTTTTTCTGCTTCTTTTTTTAAACAGGAGCGCCAAAACAGGAATAAACAATAGAAGACATTTATCCTTGGCTTGATCAACAGTTACACTAGGACTTTCGATCTAAGAGACAGAAGAATATGAAAAAGCAACCAAGCCCTTCATTTTTTTCTATTTAATTCTGGTGAATCTCTGCCATTGTTGAGACTTGTGCTTTTGTTGTCCCATGTACCACCCACTTCTTGTGCAGGGATAACAAGCTGATTTATTGTAACACCTAGCCACCACCACACTCTTTAGTTACGTTTTTTTTTTTAAAGAAATATTTTTCTTCCCGTTCCATCTCGTACTATTCTCTCACCAGACTGGTTTTCTCTCTCCGGCCCCGGCCCCCACCTCTTTCCAATTGAATCAGGGTTTGACTGCACCATGGAGAAAAATCTGCCACTTTATATTTCAGTACAATCAGGAACCAATGTGTCCTGCCCCTATTTGTCCATTTGGGGGCGACATTGCCATGCTTCAGCGGTTTAACTGTGCCAACAGGGTTGGAGGATCCCAAAGGCCATGTCGGACTTGGCGCTGTGCGATTATACAACTTCAATGGTTTATCTATTTTTCATTCAGATCCACAAAATCTCTATTTTTTTGGCTTACTACTGACAATTTTCATTTCAGAAACCTGTTTTCTGGAGCCTTAATGTTTTGTTCTCTAATTATTGGTGACTTTTCAAAAGAACTGCTCAAACAGTGACACTGCTGGAGAAATCAGGGATAGTGTGAAGTCACACGGGACTCGAAACATTTCTGAAGGAGGGATTGCTAAGGCCTCTGGGATAAAGAAATAATGGATGTGTCCTCCACAACCAGAACTCACCATTTTAGTCCAAAATTGTACTATTGACATCCCTCACACCCCTCTGCTTCGCTGTCTTTTTGATGTTTGTCTTGAAGGGGTCTTTTGTATGTTTCGTCAGGAGATTCTGCTTGTGTACGCAACCCAGTCTGAGAGAATTGACGCACCCACCATTTTAAATTGTTTTATAATCAGAATGATGTAACTGCTACATTGAATTAATTGTTGCTTTGCGTTTCTTGTTTCACAAATGGGGGGGAGGGTACACATGTTTGTCCATTCACCATCATTCTGTCTTAATCCTCTGTTTTTTCCCCTCTCAAATTTGGTTTTGCTAGGTCTATTATGTTGGTCGTAATGCTAAGCTTTAACGTAGGAGCCTATATATTGGAGAAAGCCTAAAAATGTATAACCTAAACATTAATGTAACTGATTTACTATCGAGTAAGAAAAAAATAAGAATGAAATGTGGTTTCTGTGTGTTTTTTGGTTGTTGCTAAACTAGTTTGTTCAAGACTGAAACCATTGATTATAGAGTACTTTCAGGTTTGTCAAGTCAACAGAAAAAAAGATTGGATAAAAAAAAAAAAGCTCTAATAAATGTGTGTCCATGCAAGGCAAGCTGCAATATAAAAGGTCTGCTAGATATTTAAAAACTATTATCCAACCTGCAGCTTGTCTGTAAGGTGAGAGTGGTGTCGTAAACGGTCATTCTTAAAGGACGGTGTCCCCCCTGTCCTTGTGTCCGTCATTTCAGAGCATTCAAAGCCAGAATGCAGTTTTTTAGTGAGTCTTGGATACCAGCCGGTCCTCTCCCTCCTGAGGTTCTCTGTTCAGTATTTGGTGGCTTGAGGTTATACCGAGCTGCAGGGGATCTGCTAATAGAAAACTCCATGTTCTGGGATCTTTTGGTCTTTCACTGTATTCGTGTTAGACTCGATGTTGCCTCATGGTAACCTGATCAAATATTCTGATCCCATTTCTCAACTTTCAGTTTGAGATATGTGACCTGAAAGAGATAACTGACAGTTGTGGCCTATAAGATCATTCACCGTACATTGTTTGGTCTTCAGATTATGTTAGACGGAGTATGTATTCTGATTTTCAGAAGTTAACCCCATTATTACATTGAGATGACAGAAGGTCACTCAAGTGTGTGTAGGAACCGTATGCTTCACAGCTGTATTTCCAGATGTGTGAAGCTGCGTTTTCTTTACATGGCCGGTTAAATCTAGGGATCTGAATTCTAACAAGATCCTTTTTCTCTTCCACCTCTTCTCCTTTTTACCTGCACTAATCAATAGCTAGGTTGATCCAAGCAATACGGTGAACGTGTTTGCCTTCACCGACACCGCTCTCTAACCGGCGCAGAGTCGGGGAGAAGCTGAAGGACGCCACCGAGTTGCAGCTGCCTTAGCCTCAGGAAGCTTGTACTGGTTGTGTTTATAGTACAGGGCTAGAGTGCATGTTAATGTCAGGAGATGTGTGTTGCAAAAGAGGGATGTCAGGTTAGCGAAAGTATATGTATAACACCGCAAAAGGATTAATGAAATGACATTTTAAATATCCATTGATTTATCTTATAGACCATAATTGTAGTGGGCATAACTTGTTTGAAAGATCTATCTTGGTTTTCTTTTTTAGAAGAAATCGAGCCTTAATAAACTGTCCATTTAGAAATGACTTTGTCTTGATCTCGTGAATTCTCTGTTGGTTCTCAACAGCCACCCACGGTGACCTTATACAAAGAAGGAGCTCTAGGGCAGCCCCAGTGCTTAAATGTCACTAAAAGGTTTTTCTCAGCTGGAATTGTTTTCCTCCTGTTGTCTTTTTTCATCACGTTACTACACTTGACTTTACACTGTATCTTTAAGTACTCTTATCAAAGCAGATCGCTGTTCCCAAGCTGCAGTCTACATCAGAATATGATGGAGCGTACAAATGGAAGAACGGTTAACGGTATTTAAATTGTTTTAAATCAATAGAAATGTGTATGTGCATCATATGTTTGTGCACATTAGCACATATAAGATTTAACATTTTCGTTACTTATTTCAAATTTAGAGAGGTTTTTCTTTTAAATTACTAAAAAACATAGTTTTAAATATGGGTATTTAGCTTGAGATGTCCTGTACACAGGTTTTTGACATTGAACATTGTAATATAATAGTTTTGGTTTTAAGGTTTACATAGAAAAATATGTTTAAACGCTTTTCAAAGGATTTCCTTCTCTTTCCTCGTCAGGAGCTCTCCATGGTGCTGATCTCCTGATTGCTGGGACCTGCTGGTGGGATTTTAAAGTCACATAATGAAGGTAAGAAAAACTGGAGTACAAACACAGCAGGTGATCTTATATAAAATGGTGGTGGAGTTTGACCTGTTTTGAATATGGGTGTAAACTAAAATACACTGAATGCCAAACCATGGTTTATACGCTTAAAGAAATAACCTTATCATCTTTGCTACAGATCACCAGTTATCATTTGTCATACCAGGTTCAAGTCTTCCTCGCAACATTTAAAAGGTTTTAATTTGCGTTATGTGAAAATAATTAACATGTTCTGCAAATACTGCATATATGGTGCAATGGAAACATCAAATAATCACAGGAGAATCACAAGCAGAAAACTCAGTGCAACTCAAGCTTTATTTGGTGTCCAATCATTACAAAGTGAAACATGCATTAAACACATTTCACACAATCATATTCAGAGAAAACTGTAAAATATAGATAAACATGACTAACAAAGACCCTATAATGATGATTGAATTCTTGATTTAAAAGACATTAAATGCATGTTATTTATAAAAAGATCCCTTTGCAGTTCAAATATGGGAACACATGTTCAAGTTGCATTGTGAAAAGTTTGGGTGATCAATGCTTAATTAAATACATTTTTAAAATGTTATGTTGACAATAAATAACCTAAAATGCACTGAGTGAAAAAATGATAATAGTACTTTGTCCTAATTCTCCTATTTCTGATTTGTTTGATTATATTTAGTTTTTTGGTTCTTTCTCAAAATATATGAGAACTGGTTGAAAACCAAAATGCTCTAAGTTTCATTGAACCAGTATTTGATGCAAACCAATTTTGTGGGTGATAACACTTGATAGAAAACTAATAGCCTATACTTATTTCCTTTTGGTCCTACGGCCTTCACTGGGCTACTGCTCCTCACATGCGGTGTCAGAAGGACGCCTGTAGGTGGCATTGAATCACTGACATGTCTATACGTTGAATGCTTCAGACTAAACACTGCAGGCAGCGTTAGAGTGAAGGCCTGAGGTTGGAGCCACACAGTGAAGGTGTGGTAGACTGTTGGCCTACTTTGGCTTATAAAATAAATGATTATAGTTGATACTCAACGTATGTTGACTTCTGTCACGTTTTGTAAAATATTTAACTTTCACAAAAGGGTTTGAATAGACTAATGACTGCGCACAGCCTACTGAATATGAGGAATTAGCATCAATGCATTAATAAAGATATTTCCATGATCACACTTTGCCTGTCTTATTCGCTTGAATAGTATACGCGTATTGATTATATTTATACTTCAAATTAGAATTACAATCCAACTTATAAATGTATTGACCTCGTGCCTGACCATAATGTTTACTCCGAAGATATGGAAAATATGTTCTTAAAATAAAACAAACATTTCGCCAAGTTAAAATCGTTTTCGAAGATAGGCAACTAAAAATGTAAGCGACTGCCGTAAGATTGGTTAAACCCCATAGCCATTGACCATTTGGCACAAGTCCAATTGTTTTCGTAAACCTGCATCGCTTTCTGTGCGAGGCGTTTTTCACTGTTTGGATAAAACATTGAAAAACAATCATTTCTGACAAAATATAAGATGTTAAAATTAACTAATGGTAACCTTTATACATGCTGTAACATCATATCAAAGTACGCATTGCGCTCACCCAGTGTACACACACACACACACACACACACACACACACACACACACACACACACACACACACACACACACACACACACACGTGACAGTACAGCAGTCAGCTTCATCCTGCTGCTGGTTGCAGCCAGGCCTACTACTAATGCTGCTGATGAAATGTATAAAAACCTGAAGCTGTAGATTCCTCTCTTGGCATTCACCGCGTGCCTTAATTGTATGGACATTAAATCAAGGTCCGCTGTGAACACGCAGAGTGACAACCCTTAAAGAAGCCCCCTCCTCAGCCTGCTGATGGCTGCAGAGTGAAGCCAGAGCCTCCAATCCTTCCTGACTTCCACGCGCTCAAACCTGCAGCATCTGCCGCCGTGTAGGACACACACACACACACACACACACACACACACACACACACACACACGACTGCGATTTAAGTACAGCTCCCGTGTCCGTGCGCACGCGCGCTCGGGCACACACACACTGGTATAATCTAAAGCCGATTTTGCAACACATTTGCGCGCACACGTGCATGTAGACATTTAAATCTAAAACCGATTTATAGCCTACACCAGCAGAAATGCGCGCGACCACTTTCTTCCCCTGCTCCTCTTTGGTTTGCTCGCAAATAATTATTGATATCACTGCGCCACAGCTCTGCGTTAAAACCAATCAGCATACAGCCCATCATCGAAGTATTGGAAGAAAATATATTTAAAAAACACTGTTATTAGCATAGCATTGTAAATCTGGTTGTGCGTCTTTTACCCTCTCTCAGCAGGTTACCTGGCACAGAATGACAGCTGAAGCCACACAGGCTCTCGCTTTGTCCTTTCTTAAAACCACTCAATGTACAACATTAGCCTGACCTGAAACACCAAGACAACAGTGAAAAGAGAAGAAAGCACAGATGGCAGCACGTCACAAAGCTATTTCTTTGAAGTCATACATCCCACTGCGAAGAGTAGGCTACTGTATTTTCCATTCAACTTGTCTTGAATGCAGTTCCCCGAATTGTCCACGATCAACGCCCTCGGACAAAACGCGCGATGCATCTTCTCTCCTCTAATGCAGTTGACAAACTACAAATTTTACATTTGGCTACTGCACATCTGGAGAAAAAAAATGCTGGTCGTTCTTCTATGCACCACACAGGCACTCTAGCGTATCCCTAAAGCTCGATTAGTCGGGAGGCTGATTTTCTCGTGCTAGAGGTGAGAGAAAAAAAGGTTTCTTCGTCTTCAGAAAGGTCCTCTCCACCAAAAGCCAGTGGGTTCCTTCTTTTTAATCTGACCCATTTCAGGCACAATCCAGCCCTGGATGCATGCCGCCTCTCTCGCTCTGCTCTCTCTCTCTTTCGGGCTGTGTGATCCACTGTCTCCCGGATTAGAGCGCCCCTCTCTTCCCATCCTAGACAATTGCGAGTCTCTGCTGATTGGGCTTCAGCGCAAAGGATTACATGGGCGCACAATGACGTCATGGCCCGGGGCCCAAGCCCCCCCTCCTCCCCTTCTTCTCCTCACCTCCCCCCATTAAAACCAAATCCTCATCAGCCTCAAATGTCCTTGAAACCACCGGCCTGACTTTCTGTAGCGCGTCATGCATGCATGCACCAGGGCAGACTACTGTGTAAAGATTAAAGTTGTAGCCAATGGGTGCCATTAACTAACTAATGCAATACTGCAAGCAAGGAAGCCACGGTTATTGCTGTCACTGTCACTTACATACACCTAAATATCAACACCTTGAAGGTTTTGCCTTGGCTGGTGCATACGTTTATTGCTGCTATGTTGCAGGCGTGTGTTAAATAAAAGGTGGACAGGTCCACCTGTGACCTGCTCTCTATGACCATTGTGACACAAACACAAGTCATAGCCCTTGGCCTAAACACTGAAATTATCCTAAAATGTAAAGGTGCTTACAAGGTGAAGGAATTATACTGCAAATGTAAGTAAGATTTTCTCATTTCGTTGTTGTAAATGTTTTAACTGTTCACAACATCCCTGTTGCAAACATGCCTTTAACAGCTCAGCTTTCTGGAGACGTTTTCTGCAACATCTAAATAGAACAGGATCTAAAGATTAGTGACTGTAGTCTTCTGAGGCCTGTGATCCCAGATGGTCCGAGCTAAAGCCATATGCTGCTGTAGTGTGCTTCATTACATATTTTGAGTAAAAGCTCAAGATGGAAATATACTATTAATGTGGTGCATTTTTAAGCTACACAGTATGACACGTGTACGTTCTGTAATGTATAGCATGCAGCTGCACTGTTGGAGAGAATTCCTTATAGTTTTATGATGTGATCAATTTGAGTAAATATAGTTTATTTGCATTCCCATATCTGACTAAGTAAGTATTTTACCATGGTTTTAAAAGTGTTAACTTGAGATTTTAGTATGACCTATATCTGACCTACATATTTATTAGCTCTTGCCAATGCATTCCTGTATTTCATTTTCAGAAATGGACTTACTTAAAAAGTAAGTATTTGGAGTTTCCCTGCCCATTTCGGTTTCAGATAATTTTCAATTATAATTAAATAATTGTATTTAAAATGTATTCTTCAATTGACAAACGTGTGAGTTAAGAGACCTGCCCTTTTTTTCAACAAAAAAAATATGTTTCTGCAAGTTGACCCAAATGTGGGCCTGCAGTCTGCAGCCCCTCCTAAATGTGTGTAATTTAACCAATTGATATTTGACCTAAAAAGTTAAGTTATAATCAATCTAAATGTATTCATAAAATGCATTTTAACGC